CCCCCCCCCATATGAGAACCCAGAAATGATGTGACAAACATGCCTGTCGCTCATCAGCTGCTACTAGTGTTGTGTAATGGACTAAATAAGAAGGACTTAGGCTAGCATTCAGGTTTTCTATATCATCACAAAGTGTGAGTGTATTTCATATTGCAAATTATATTTATATATAAGGTGTGTTTGTTCACTGTTGAATGATTTTCAAGTCACTAGTCAAGTAGTCACTAGTCCAAATATCTTAAAACCAAGAGATTTTGATTGTATAGATGTCCTTGCATGATGCCATCTATTTAAGAATTTTTGCATCGAGGAACTTGATGATTATTGTATGCATTGACTGTGAACTCTTTCGCAAACAAGAAATAAAGTGGCACAATGAATTCATATCTAGATCATGGCCACTGAGCCAGATGATCTTGTGAAGTGATTTTAAGACTTACAATTCACAAGTTTTATGAAAATCATTTTTTACTGTTTACATATATATATATATACACGTATTCAAAGACTAGTTAAATGAATTTGAAATATTCATGAACATGACTTGGTTTTACAAAAATACAAGGTTATGTTAATTATTGGGAGAAATATATAAATTACTTTCATGATTGGTCGGCTGATCATTTACCAGCAAAGGAACAATTTGTAAAAATGGTTACAAAATATTTCAACAAATTCATGGATTTTAACTCTTTTTATCCTGAATAAAATTAATTGGGCAGGTATGATTTCAGGAGAGGGCAAACTGTGGGTGGTTATACATGATTTGCAGAATATGATGCGATGCTCTGGCACACAGTGAAAGGTGTAAAAAAAACTCAAGTCACTGGCGTGGACTTGAAACCCTGTACACTTAGCTATAGCCTGCTGCGCATCAGATAGTTCCACCATTTGAATTGTTAATTATTATATTATACACGTTTACGACTAAATTGAAGTTAAAGAAATAACATGCAGGATGAAGTTAACTCGAGTCTAGTCTTTAACAATATGTCAGTTGTAAATTATATGTAAATTATATGTTAATTATATTAATACATTACACTACAATACATTACTCTATAATATATTACTCTATAATACATTACCCAATAATACATTACTCTATAACACATTACTCAATAATACATTACTCAATAATTCATTACTCTATAACACATTACACTACAATACATTACTCAATAATACATTACTTTATAATACATTACTCTATAACACATTACACTACAATACATTACTCAATAATACATTACACTATAATACATTACTCAATAACACATTACTCAATAATACATTACTC